CATCAGCAGTTCCCGAGAATGTCCAGCAGAGGGCGGCTGTGAGCCGTGGTCAGCGGTGGTCAGCCATGGTCAGTGATGCATCTCGGCATCGGCAGTTCCTGGGAATGTCCAGCAGAGGGCGGAGTGCCGTGGGTTTCTGGGGTTTGGCCTGGGATCCGGGGTGAGCTGCACAGGCTGAGCAGGGAGGGGTGGGGATGAAGGGCCGCGGGATGGGACCTGCCCTCAAGGCACTGGCGTGGACCTCTCCTGAGTCCCCCAAGTCCGTGGGGAGTGGACTCTGCAAGGGCGTCGTCGCTGCCTTTGCAGAAATAAAAACACGGGTGAGAACCACCCCGTAGTATGCCTGTCTCAGCCCTGGGGCAGGAGTGGGCATTTAAAAATACAGAGGGGGGACAACGGAGAGTACCCCCTGCCCCCGGAGTCAGACGGTGCTCGAGTTTGCCAAGACCCTCTAGCAGGTGGAAGCTGGCGCAGGCCCCTCTGCCAGCCACGGGATGCAGCGGCCGGAGGTTCCCTGCGCCAGCGCCTTCAGGCTGGCCTCCTGGGATTTGGGAGAAGCAGGCTGTGTGATTCCCACACACCCAGTTCTAGGGCTGCTGCGCGCCTGTGCGTCCGGCTTCGGAGCTTTCCCCGCCCAGAGACCTGGTCCCGCCCCGTTCCCGTGCGTCCCGGGCGCACGCGCTGCGGAAGGCGGCTGAGCGCGCACGGCGGCTACCGAGGCCATGGCGCTGGAAGCCATCCGCTCCTCCCGGGGCTCGCTGCACATCCTGGACCAGCTGCTGCTGCCGGGGCAGAGCCGCTACGAGGCGGTGGAGTCGGTGCAGCAGGCCTGGGAGGTCATCCGCGCCATGAAGGTGGGAGCGGCGCGGCCTGGGCGCGCACGGTGGCGGCGGCGGGGAGGAGAAGGGACCGACGCGCAAGCCCACCGCATCTCTGTTGGCCCCGGCAGGTGCGCGGCGCCCCAGCCATCGCCCTGGTGGGTTGCCTCAGCCTGGCCGTGGAGCTGCGCCTAGGCGGCCGTCCTGCCTGTACCTGCACCCCAACAATAAACCAGGCTGTTCCGCCCCGCGGTCTGGGGGAGCAGTGAACTGGGGCACCACCACGGTCAGGGGACACTGGGGAGGGGGTGCTGTGGACTGGGGGTCCACCAGAGTCGGGCGTCCCAGGACATTTTTTTTTAATTACATTATATTATGTGACACAGTTCTATAAGCACAGGGATTCCCCCCACCCCTCCCCTAACTCTCCCCCCATGGTGGGTTCCTCCCCCAAACCCCCCGTTCCGTAACCACAGTTCAAGTTTAGTTGAGATCCCTTCATTGCAAGCATACACCAAGCATACAGTCCAGCATATTACTGTCTGGTCAAGTTCAGTGGCTTCTTAGGGAGACCCTCCCCGGTCCAAAGGCAAAGCCAACAAAGCAAAATCCCAGTCAATTAAAAGCCCCAACATGACATCAGCAACAATATATAACAGTAAGAGATAAATTGACACAGTATGGAGCGACCGATATGTCAAAATTGGATGCAAGGCCTTATCAACTTTCTGTGACTATTTCAATGACAATTCAACAATCGAGGTGAGAAACAGTTTTAGGAGGGGTGTGCAGAGAAATCTTGCATACCTTGGTGAGGAGTACTTACTGCCCGTGTCCTAACTAGTAAGGTGTGTGTGAGTCCATGCTGATCAAGCCTTGTTCTCTGCATATCCGAGAGTGTGCATGTGTGTGTGTGTGTTGGGGAGGCAGGGGGACCCCTGGACTTTTTAAGTTTTATTTTTTTTTAAGATTTATTTTATTGGAAAAGCAGATATGCAGAGAGGAGAGATAGAGAGGAGAGACAGAGAGGAAGATCTTCCGTCTGTGTGCCACCGCGCCGGGCCCAAGTTTTATTTTTATTGCAAAGTCAGATACACAGAGAGGAAGATCTTCCACACGCTGGTTCACCCCCCCAAGTGGCCACAGTGGGAGCTGAGCTGCCCAAGAGACTGTTCCGGGTCTCCCACGCAGGTGCAGGGTCCCAAGGCCTTGGGCCGTCCTCCACTGCTTTCCCAGGCCACAGGCAGGGAGCTGGGTGGCAGTGGAGCACCTAGGGCTGTTCCCATAGCCATCCAGAATGCCCCAGCTCAGGGACTGGCACGGCCATGTTCAAGTTCCTGGAGCTCTGCCCTCAACCCTGCAGCCGTCCTGCTGCGCCCCAGCTGGCCCCACGCCTGCCTCTTGCCACCCCACCGCCAAGTCCATCTCAGCATCTTCTCTCCTGCTGGGCCTGGGCTGCATCTCGGCATCAGCAGTTCCCGAGAATGTCCAGCAGAGGGCGGCTGTGAGCCGTGGTCAGCGGTGGTCAGCCATGGTCAGTGATGCATCTCGGCATCGGCAGTTCCTGGGAATGTCCAGCAGAGGGCGGAGTGCCGTGGGTTTCTGGGGTTTGGCCTGGGATCCGGGGTGAGCTGCACAGGCTGAGCAGGGAGGGGTGGGGATGAAGGGCCGCGGGATGGGACCTGCCCTCAAGGCACTGGCGTGGACCTCTCCTGAGTCCCCCAAGTCCGTGGGGAGTGGACTCTGCAAGGGCGTCGTCGCTGCCTTTGCAGAAATAAAAACACGGGTGAGAACCACCCCGTAGTATGCCTGTCTCAGCCCTGGGGCAGGAGTGGGCATTTAAAAATACAGAGGGGGGACAACGGAGAGTACCCCCTGCCCCCGGAGTCAGACGGTGCTCGAGTTTGCCAAGACCCTCTAGCAGGTGGAAGCTGGCGCAGGCCCCTCTGCCAGCCACGGGATGCAGCGGCCGGAGGTTCCCTGCGCCAGCGCCTTCAGGCTGGCCTCCTGGGATTTGGGAGAAGCAGGCTGTGTGATTCCCACACACCCAGTTCTAGGGCTGCTGCGCGCCTGTGCGTCCGGCTTCGGAGCTTTCCCCGCCCAGAGACCTGGTCCCGCCCCGTTCCCGTGCGTCCCGGGCGCACGCGCTGCGGAAGGCGGCTGAGCGCGCACGGCGGCTACCGAGGCCATGGCGCTGGAAGCCATCCGCTCCTCCCGGGGCTCGCTGCACATCCTGGACCAGCTGCTGCTGCCGGGGCAGAGCCGCTACGAGGCGGTGGAGTCGGTGCAGCAGGCCTGGGAGGTCATCCGCGCCATGAAGGTGGGAGCGGCGCGGCCTGGGCGCGCACGGTGGCGGCGGCGGGGAGGAGAAGGGACCGACGCGCAAGCCCACCGCATCTCTGTTGGCCCCGGCAGGTGCGCGGCGCCCCAGCCATCGCCCTGGTGGGTTGCCTCAGCCTGGCCGTGGAGCTGCGCCTAGGCGGCCGTCCTGCCTGTACCTGCACCCCAACAATAAACCAGGCTGTTCCGCCCCGCGGTCTGGGGGAGCAGTGAACTGGGGCACCACCACGGTCAGGGGACACTGGGGAGGGGGTGCTGTGGACTGGGGGTCCACCAGAGTCGGGCGTCCCAGGACATTTTTTTTTAATTACATTATATTATGTGACACAGTTCTATAAGCACAGGGATTCCCCCCACCCCTCCCCTAACTCTCCCCCCATGGTGGGTTCCTCCCCCAAACCCCCCGTTCCGTAACCACAGTTCAAGTTTAGTTGAGATCCCTTCATTGCAAGCATACACCAAGCATACAGTCCAGCATATTACTGTCTGGTCAAGTTCAGTGGCTTCTTAGGGAGACCCTCCCCGGTCCAAAGGCAAAGCCAACAAAGCAAAATCCCAGTCAATTAAAAGCCCCAACATGACATCAGCAACAATATATAACAGTAAGAGATAAATTGACACAGTATGGAGCGACCGATATGTCAAAATTGGATGCAAGGCCTTATCAACTTTCTGTGACTATTTCAATGACAATTCAACAATCGAGGTGAGAAACAGTTTTAGGAGGGGTGTGCAGAGAAATCTTGCATACCTTGGTGAGGAGTACTTACTGCCCGTGTCCTAACTAGTAAGGTGTGTGTGAGTCCATGCTGATCAAGCCTTGTTCTCTGCATATCCGAGAGTGTGCATGTGTGTGTGTGTGTTGGGGAGGCAGGGGGACCCCTGGACTTTTTAAGTTTTATTTTTTTTTAAGATTTATTTTATTGGAAAAGCAGATATGCAGAGAGGAGAGATAGAGAGGAGAGACAGAGAGGAAGATCTTCCGTCTGTGTGCCACCGCGCCGGGCCCAAGTTTTATTTTTATTGCAAAGTCAGATACACAGAGAGGAAGATCTTCCACACGCTGGTTCACCCCCCCAAGTGGCCACAGTGGGAGCTGAGCTGCCCAAGAGACTGTTCCGGGTCTCCCACGCAGGTGCAGGGTCCCAAGGCCTTGGGCCGTCCTCCACTGCTTTCCCAGGCCACAGGCAGGGAGCTGGGTGGCAGTGGAGCACCTAGGGCTGTTCCCATAGCCATCCAGAATGCCCCAGCTCAGGGACTGGCACGGCCATGTTCAAGTTCCTGGAGCTCTGCCCTCAACCCTGCAGCCGTCCTGCTGCGCCCCAGCTGGCCCCACGCCTGCCTCTTGCCACCCCACCGCCAAGTCCATCTCAGCATCTTCTCTCCTGCTGGGCCTGGGCTGCATCTCGGCATCAGCAGTTCCCGAGAATGTCCAGCAGAGGGCGGCTGTGAGCCGTGGTCAGCGGTGGTCAGCCATGGTCAGTGATGCATCTCGGCATCGGCAGTTCCTGGGAATGTCCAGCAGAGGGCGGAGTGCCGTGGGTTTCTGGGGTTTGGCCTGGGATCCGGGGTGAGCTGCACAGGCTGAGCAGGGAGGGGTGGGGATGAAGGGCCGCGGGATGGGACCTGCCCTCAAGGCGCTGGCGTGGACCTCTCCTGAGTCCCCCAAGTCCGTGGGGAGTGGACTCTGCAAGGGCGTCGTCGCTGCCTTTGCAGAAATAAAAACACGGGTGAGAACCACCCCGTAGTATGCCTGTCTCAGCCCTGGGGCAGGAGTGGGCATTTAAAAATACAGAGGGGGGACAACGGAGAGTACCCCCTGCCCCCGGAGTCAAGTTTGCCAAGACCCTCTGGCAGGTGGAAGCTGGCGCAGGCCCCTCTGCCAGCCACGGGATGCAGCGGCCGGAGGTTCCCTGCGCCAGCGCCTTCAGGCTGGCCTCCTGGGATTTGGGAGAAGCAGGCTGTGTGATTCCCACACACCCAGTTCTAGGGCTGCTGCGCGCGTGTGCGTCCGGCTCCGGAGCTTTCCCCGCCCAGAGACCTGGTCCCGCCCCGTTCCCGTGCGTCCCGGGCGCACGCGCTGCGGAAGGCGGCTGAGCGCGCACGGCGGCTACCGAGGCCATGGCGCTGGAAGCCATCCGCTCCTCCCGGGGCTCGCTGCACATCCTGGACCAGCTGCTGCTGCCGGGGCAGAGCCGCTACGAGGCGGTGGAGTCGGTGCAGCAGGCCTGGGAGGTCATCCGCGCCATGAAGGTGGGAGCGGCGCGGCCTGGGCGCGCACGGTGGCGGCGGCGGGGAGGAGAAGGGACCGACGCGCAAGCCCACCGCATCTCTGTTGGCCCCGGCAGGTGCGCGGGGCCCCAGCCATCGCCCTGGTGGGTTGCCTCAGCCTGGTCGTGGAGCTGCAGGCGGGCGCCGGGGGCCCAGGACTCGCCGCCCTCATGCATTTTGTCCGCGAACGCCTGAGCTTCCTGGTCACCGCCCGGCCCACGGCGGTCAACATGGCCCGCGCCGCCCGGGACCTGGCCGACGCCGCGGCCCGTGAGGCCGAGCAGGACGGCGCCACGGAGGAGGCGGTGCGGGAGAGGTACCGGGGCCTCCCCGGAACGGACACCCGCGCCGGGCTAGCCCAGGCCGCTCCGCAGACGCTCAGGCCCCCTTCTCCTCGGCCCCAGAGTGATCCGCTACGCCGAGGCCATGCTGGAACAGGACCTCAAGGACAACAGGCGCATCGGGGACCTGGGAGCGCAAGACCTGCTAGCCAAGGCAGCCCCGGGGGGCGGCAAGGTGACCGTGCTGACCCACTGCAACACCGGGGCGCTGGCCACCGCTGGCTACGGCACGGCCCTGGGTGAGTGGGAGCCATGGTGTGTCAGTTGGCACGGGTTCAAGTCCCAGCCGTCCCACTTGCCATCCAGCTCTCTGCTTGTGCCCCCAAGGTCTTAGGATCCTGCACCCGGGTGGGAGACCCAGAGGAAGCTCCTGGCTTCAGCCTGGCCCAGCCATTAAGGGCCATTTGGGAGTGAACCAGCGGATGGGAAGCAGAGCCGGCACAGGACACCCGGGGCTGGGACTGTGAACACGCGTGGGGACCCTGGCACACCCCTTCCCCTAACCACCACCCCGCCGTTTCGCAGGCGTGATCCGCTCCCTGCACAGCCTGGGCCGCCTGGAGCACGCCTTCTGCACGGAGACCCGGCCTTACAACCAGGGAGCCCGGCTCACGGCCTTCGAGCTGGTCTACGAGCACATCCCCGCCACCCTCATCACGGACAGCATGTCGGCGGCGGCCATGGCACACAAGGACGTGTCAGGTGGGCGTGACCTCTTCCCCGGGAGGTGGCCTGGCCTGGGTGGACGAGGCTTGGCCAGCCAGGGTCCAGGTGTCGACGCCCCGCCCGCTCACCCCCTGACCGTGCTCCCTCGCAGCCGTGGTGGTAGGCGCCGACCGCGTGGTGGCCAACGGGGACACGGCTAACAAGGTGGGCACCTACCAGCTGGCCATCGCCGCCAAGCACCACGGGATCCCCTTCTACGTGGCGGCGCCCAGCTCCTCCTGCGACCTGCGGCTGCAGACGGGCGCCGACATCACCATCGAGGAGCGCCCCGGCCAGGAGCTGACAGACGTGAACGCATCGCGGCGCCCGGTGAGCTGCCCACCCGGGGCAGGCATGGGGGTGTGCCCCCATAACCAGGACCTCCCCGCCAGGAGGCCTTGTCTCGCTCCACATTGGGTGGGACGGTCAGGGAAGGCCCCCCCAAGCCAGCCCCACAGCCCCCCGGGTGCAAACAGACCCAGTACAGCCAGCTCTGCCTCTCTCCCCTCCAGGCATTGGGGTCTGGAACCCCGCCTTCGATGTCACCCCCCACGAGCTCATCACCGGGGGAATCATCACAGAACTGGGCGTCTTCACCCCTGACCAGCTCCACGCTGCCCTTTAGCCAGGAGCCCAGGGGTAGCCAGCCCCGTCCCCCGCCCAGGAACCAGGGGTGGCCAGCCCCGTCCCCTGCCCAGGAACCAGGGGTGGCCAGCCCCGTCCCCTGCCCGGGAACCAGGGGTGGCCAGCCCCGTCCCCCCGCCCAGGAACCAGGGGTGGCCAGCCCCGTCCCCTGCCCAGGAACCAGGGGTGGCCAGCCCCGTCCCCTACCCGGGAACCAGGGGTGGCCAGCCCCCCACAGCCTCCTAACCCGGCTGCCCTGTCCCTGGGAGCCCAGGGGTAGCAGTCCCCTGTCCCCTGACCTGGCTGTTTCTCACAGGTTTTATAATATATTTCATGAGAATAAATTATTATTTTCTGTCTTGTAAGATGTGTTTATTTCAGAGGGAGGGCGAGCGAGGGAGCTCATCCTTGCGCTGGTCACTCCCTAACTGGCCCCAGTGGCCGGTTCTCCTTCCGGGTCTCCCATGTGGTTGCAGGGTCCAAGCACCTGGAACAAGGCTGTTTAAACGTTTTTTTCTAAATGTTGCAGCCAGAGGTCAGACTGCCTCGTCTGGGCCTACCCCTGGTTTGAGTTCATGCATAAAGCACAGAAAACTACACGAGCACCCAGAAGGGTGCCTGTCCCTTTAACGCTATGCCACGCTCTATCCCGTGAGTCTTCGCGGCCGCGCCGCCCGGCTGGATTGCGTCAGGAGCCACTCTTCCGGCGCGTACCCCGCCTCTTCCGGCGCGTGCCCGCCTTTCCGGCAGAAGCCCTGCCTCTTCCGGCGCGAGCCCCATCATGGCGCAGGGGCAGCGTAAGTTCCAGGCGCAGCGGCCGGCCAAGAGCAAGGCGGCGTCGGCGGCGGCGGATCGCAGCCGGGGCCCGAGGAAAGGCGGTGAGGCGCGGGCCGGGGGCTGGGGAAGCCGCGGGCGGCGGGAGGGAGAGCGTCCTGGGGCCTCCCGGCTTCACACGCCCTGCCTTCCCTGCAGGCCGGATCATCGCCCCCAAGAAAGCGCGCATCGTGCAGCAGCAGAAGCTGCGGAAGGTGAGTGCGGGAGGAGAGGGCACAGACGGCCAGCTGCTCCGTCCGCCGGCGTGCTCTGCAAGCGGCAGCTCCTGCAGCGGCTGAGCCGACCAGGAGCCAGGAGCCTCTTCCGGGTCCCCCACGCGGGTGCAGGGTGGAAGTCCCGGGCGGGTGGCAGACAGGAGCATGGCGGCGGCGTGAGCCGGGACTGCAGGTGCTGCGGGGCTGGGGGTGCCGAGGCTGGGCCTGCCCGCACGCCCGCCCACCCGTCGCCCCGTGCTTGTCCCCGCAGGACCTCGAGGTGGGGATCCGGAAGAAGATCGAGCACGACGTGGTGCTGAAGGCCAGCAGCAGCCTCCCCAAGAGGCTGGCGCTGCTGCAGGCGCCGGCCGACAAGAAGGGGGCCAAGAAGGGGGCCGGGGCTGGCAAGGGCGCAAGCAAGGCGGGCTCCTGAGGGGCGGGGCGACGCCGGGGAACGCCCCCCGCGCTGGTGGACACGCCCAACGCTGCCGGGACACGCCCACCGTGGCAGCCACGCCCCTGCGCCCCGCCCACGGCCCCCAGCGCTGCTGTGACCGCCCACATCAATGGAGACGCCCACCTTGGCGGTCACGCCCACAGCGCTGATGGGACACGCCCCGGGCCCCGCCCACAGTGCTGGTTGGACACGCCCTGGGCCCCGCCCACAGGGCTGGTTGGACACGCCCGCCTCTGGACACGCCCTGGGCCCCGCCCACAGTGCTGGTTGGACACGCCCGCCTCTGGACACGCCCTGGGCCCCGCCCACAGAGCTGATTGGACACGCCCATAGCTCTGGAGTGACCGCCCGCCTTGATGGACACGCCCACTATGGTGGACATGCCTGGTCCGCTCTGGATGGGACCGTCCTGTCTGTACCTGCACCCCAACAATAAACCAGGCTGTTCCGCCCCGCGGTCTGGGGGAGCAGTGAACTGGGGCGCCACCAGGGTGGGGGGCCACTGGAGAGGGTGAGGGGTCACCAGGGTCGGGCGGCCCCTGGACTTTTTGTTAATTACATTATATTATGTGACACAGTTCTATAAGCACAGGGACTCCCCCTAACCCTCCTCCCATGGTGGGTTCCTCCCCCCCCCACATCCCGTTGCATAACCACAGTTCAAGTTTAGTTGAGATCCCTTCATTGCAAGCATACACCAAGCACAGAGTCCAGCATATTACTGTCTGGTCAAGTTCAGTGGCTTCTTAGGGAGACCCTCCCCGGTCCAAAGGCAAAGCCAACAAAGCAAAATCCCAGTCAAGTAAAAGCCCCAACATGACATCAGCAACAATATATAACATTAAGAGATAAATTGACACAGTATGGAGCAACCGATATGTCAAAATTGGATGCAAGGCCTTATCAACTTTGTGGGACTATTTCAATGACAATTCAACAATCAAGGAGCAAATTTAGGAGGGGTGTGCGGATTCCGTACCTTGGTGAGGAGTATTTACTGCCCGTGTCCTAACTAGTAAGTGTGTGTGATGAGTCCATGCTGAATCTCTGATTTGTGAGTGTGTGGGGGACACATGGACTTAAAAGATTTATTTTTAAAAGGCGTATGTATATATACAGAGAGGAACTTCCGATGTCTTTCCCAGAAGGCAGGTAGGGAGATGGAAGGGAAGCGGATGGGATCCCGGGCGCGCGAGGACCACTACGCCACCGCGCCGGGCCCAAGTTTTATTTTTATTGCAAAGGCAGATACACAGAGAGGAGTGGGAGCTGAGCTGGCCAGGAGCCTCTTCCGGGTCTTCCATGCGGGTGCAGAGTCCCAAGGACCTGGTCCGTCCTCCACTGCTTTCCCAGGCCACAGGAAGGGAGCTTGATGGGAAGTGGAGCAGCCAGGATACGAACCGGCACCCTTTGGGATCCCGGCGCAGGCTTTAGCCGCTAGACCACGCCGCCGGGCCTTGCAGTCATGGAGGATCTTAACCCCTACGTAGATCTGCCTGCATGGTCTCCACCTGCGCCCAGGAAGGCTGCGGCCGCCCAGCCAAGGCAACTGCTCCCATCCCTGAGGGGTCAGAGGACTGTGTCTGCAAACGGACCCCTGTGGGTCAGAGGCCACCCCTGGAGCACTCGGGGTACAGTCCCCCCTCCACACCCCAGGCCTCAGGTGGAGCTGGCTTGCCCTCCTGGGATGAAAGGAAAGACAGACACAGGAGTAACGGGTGCACTTCACCCCCAGAGCTGTTGAGCCAGGAGCCTCTTCTGGGTCTCCCACGAGGGTGCAGGTCCCAAGGCTCTGGGCCGTCCTCCACTGCTTTCCCAGGCCACAAACTGGCACCCACGTGGGATCTCGGCGCTTGCAGGGGAGGACTCTCCAATGGAGCCCTTTCAGCAGGCCTGAGTTTGGGGCAGGCAGAATAACACAACTCCAGACCCAGCACACAGCTGAGGGAACAACGCAAGGGCCACCCAGACCCAACCTCTCCCTGCCACCCCACACCCTGGCCAACCCCGAGGCGCAGGGGGCCGTGTTCATGTTTTATTGGGGAGGTGCAGAGATCTGCTGTCAGCTGGTCCACTCCGCTGAGCGCCCATCATGCCAGCCTGGGAGCCAGGGCCTCCATCCAGGTCTCCCGAATCCCTGGATCTTCAGACACGGAGTGCCAGCATGTTCATTGCTGTGCCCAGCGGGGGCTTGGGCAGCTTGTATGTGAAGGGCGGGAGACAGAAATGAGCCACCTGCTGCCCCTGGCACCCCTTAACAGGTCGCCTGTCCCGGCTGCCCCTACTGACCTACCTGGAAGGTGGCAGGAGAGAAAGAGAGAGAGAGAGACAGGGAGGAAGGGAGAAAGATAGATCAGACCAGGCTGTGGTCCCACTGGCCACTGGGCGGCGCCTGGAGCCCTGAGCCTGGTGCCTGCTCAGTGCCAGCCTTTCCCAGGGGCAGCCAGAGGCCAGGAAAGGCTTTGTGGGGGTCTCCTTCACCCACAACCCCATGACCTTCCAAGGATGATCCCCTCATCACCCTGCCCCCAGACCCAGCAGCCCGTGCCAGCCTTCCCTGGCCTCATCTGCTAACTGACCACGGACCCTCAGCGCGGTAAAGGCCAGAGGCACTCAGCTGCCCCCGCCCCAAACCGTAGCAGGACAGGACACCCCAGGAGGGAAGGACGGTGACCCCACCCCAGCACGCATAGCCGTGCACGCGCACACACATGCACACACACACACACTTGGCGCAGCGTTTCCCACAGGGCTGGGGGGGTCAGAAGCCCGCAAATTCCCAGACGTTGAGCTCACCATAGAGGTCCTGTGACTCAGTGGGGGAGGGAGCTGGCAGGGCCCCACCCCCTGCCCTGCCCCCAGAGGGAGTGGGAGGCCTGCCTTGCGGCCAGGCCACTAGGGCCTCATCTCCAAGGCACTGGGAGAAGGTTCCCCACACACACAGGCACGCCCCTTTCGCTCTGTGGTCCCAGGACACCACCTGCTTCACTTTCCCCAACTGTGAGAGGGGCGTGATGACAGCAGCTGTGAAAAGCCAGTCCCAGGGCTCTCCCCACCACTGGCCCTGGGGACCCCAGCCCCTCTGGCAGGAGGCACAGGACACCCAGCACCCAGTCCTGTCCATTCTGCCTACTGTGCGGCCTGGGCCTCTCCAGACCTCCACTTCCATGTCTGAGAAATGGGGGTGACACTGTCCCCGAGGCTCACACAGCACCCTGCACCAGCCCGAGCCATGGGTGCACATTGTCATATCTTCCATCCGCATCCTTACGACGGGTGGGGACAGAGCCAGCGGCGGGCAGAAGGGGGGCTCCACCCGAATCTCCTGTCATTTACTTATTTGTAAGGTGGAATAACACAAAGATTTCCCATCTGCTGGTTCACTCCCCAAGCCGGAGCTGAGCCAATCTGAAGCCAGGAGCCTCTTCTGGGTCTCCCACGTGGGTGCAGGGTCCCAAAGCTTTGGGCTGTCCTCCACTGCTTTCCCATAGACAGGGAGCTGGGGGGTGGGCTGTG